AAACATTATCACGCATACAATAAACGGTGAGTGCGCTGATCTAGATGTCTCTAACTTCTTTTGTGTTCCAGAATATGCAGTAAATCTCCTTTCTGTGAGCCGAATTTGTAAAAAGGGCTACAACGTCACCTTCACAAGCCAGTCGTGTGTGGTAATGCACGAACAAACGGGAGTGGTGATGGCCACGGGCTGAGAGTCAGATGGCCTATTCAAGCTAAACCAGTTGTGTCAATCCAGTGCATGTTTGGTGCGGCCATCTAATCTGGAGTTGTGAGACGGTTGGGCCATTTGAACGTGGACAGTGTTAAACGACTTCCTAGCATGGTGGAAGAAATAGAGATTCCGATCGGTTTGCTATCACCATGTGTTCCCTGTATTGAAGGCAAGCATCAAAGTTCACCATCCAATTCGACGGGATCAAGAGCAAGCGAGGTCCTTGAAGTGGGCCATTCGGATTTATACTGACCAATGGAGAAAGCATCCATCGGTGGAAGTAGATATTTTGTTACAATCTTCGATGATGCTAGTAGGATGGTATATATCTATTTCTTGAAGTCCAAAAACGAAGCTTTCGAAGTATTGAAGGAGAACAAGGCTCACCAGAAAATCAAACAGATCGAAAGGTGAAGTGCCTCCGTAATGATAAATAGCAAAAAGTTCGGTAAACAGTTCGAAAGCTTCCTCAAATGCATGGCATTCGGCATGAAACAACAGTCCCTCACAATCCCGAACAGAATGGCCTAGCGGAACGTATGAACCTCATAATCCAGGAGCGTGCAGGGTGTTTAATGTTTGATGGGCAGCTAGGAAAGCAGTTTTGGGCAGAGGCAGCTTCGACGGCGGTATACTTAATAAATCGATCGCCAACGAAAGGTATTTTTGTCACCCCCTATGAAAAGTTCACTGAGAAGAAGCCATATTTGTCACACTTCCTTGTTTTTCAATCAAGAGCGATGGCCCAAGAAAGTCAAGCGCAAGAAGTGGGACGCCAAGTCAGTGGCGTGCATTCTAATCGGATATTCGGAATGTTCCAAAGAGGTAGAGCAAAGAGGTGTTCGAAAGTTGAGATGTGATCATTATGGATGAGGGTCCGTCAACGAAAGCAAGTTGTCCACTCATTCCGAGGCAGCTGATGAGCATACGATTTCGTTTACTGATCATTTAAGCGAAGCGATCATTGAAGAGGAGAATGCTGAATCCACGAGTGGCGGCAATTGAGTTGAACCAGGTGACCAACAAGCTGCTGGTAGTGAATCAAATTGGTCAGAAGAGCAACAGCAGCCTTTCCAATGAGGCACAGCAAGCGGAAGCACAGGATTCCAGGCAAGTATTCTGATTTTAAGATGACGTACAGTCTCGTTCCTCAGAAATTTGCCCTTTCTCAGATTTGTAATTCTGATGAGCAACGTTCACCAACCCCTGAACCGGTCAACACTGTGCTCCCGTCACACTTGAAAGGTGGCGCTGTTGATTTGCAACACGATTCTGGGTATAGTGGCAGGAAGCGCCCAGTCCTAGGCAAATGTAATGACGATTCCATTTGCAACAGCAATTCCTCGCTGGCTTGTATTCCGCAGACTATGATTGATCCACAGACAGTACAAGAGGCTCTGGATCGCACGGATCACGATCAGTGGACAGCAATGTAGTCAGAGTAATAAGCGTTGTGCGACAATGAGACGTGGTGTCTCGTTGATCTCCCGGAAGGACGGAAGCCGTTGATGAACAAGCGGGTTTTCAAGCTCAAAACAAATGTAGACGGTGAAATCGAACGTTATAAGGCAAGAACGGTATATCGATGAGTTACTTGAGAAATTCAAGATGAAGGATTGCAACCTAGTTTCAACTCCTCTTGACATGAACAAACGGCTATCTAAGGAGATGTGTCCTAAAAACGAGAACGAGAAGGAAAAGATAAAAAAAAGTTCCATTTCGTGAGCTGATAGGGGGCCTTCAGTTCATCGCACAGTGCATAAGACCCGATATTAGTCACGCGGTCAGTGTATTAAGCAGTTATTGCAGCCAGCGTTGCCAGTATTCCAGATTTATCTGGATTTTCCCAGATTTTTAGTCGTCTTGCCAGATACATAGACAGACCACGTATATTTCCAGATTTTTCTAGATTTTTTTAAAAATATTGCTTTAAAAATATCACTGCAACTGATTTAAACTCTAATAACAAAATAAAACGCCAAACTTGCTACTTTAATAACTAAAGGCCATCAACGATGGACATAATTTGAATTTTAAGGTAATTCTGAAAATAGTTCACAGTTAAGTGTGAGGTGAATTCTTTGTGAAATCAAAGTAGAATTTCAAGCTACTTCTGAGTAGAATTAAATCCATCTTTGTGGGCTTCAGGGTCGTGCGGCGTCACCCATCATTCAGGCGTATTGTGAGTGCCACGAAGTGAGGGTTCGATTCCCGCTCCAGCCGGTGCAAATTTTGGCAACCTGAAAATTTCCCTACTGCTCTAATGGGTGTCGTGTGTTGTCCGTTGTCTAGTGTTGAATGTTCAGTCTTTGCGACCTTTGGTTGAAGACGGTGTCAATTGTCTTGTCAACTCTGATGACAATTGCATTGAGATTTTGTCAATACAGGAAATACAATCCGGAAGAGAAATCATAGAAAATTCTTATGATGAAACTTAAGTAGTATGCTGATACGAGAATAATTTCAATGGAATTCCGACCAATGATTCTATGGAGATTAATTTTACTAAAATTGTAAGCGCAATTTCTGAGAGACTTTCAAATCCATTTTGGCAAAGTACTTGAGTACTTAGGTAATACTGGAAAGAATTTCAAAACAATTTTGACCTTACTTACAAAGCAGCTCAAAGGGAATTATCGGATAAATCTGAGAAGAGTGTGACTGTCATTCTGAAGAGTGTACCAATGAAATTGTTAAGAATATTTTAAGAATTTCATAGAGAAACAAAATTAAGCCAATTCTTGCCAGTTTGAGGGAGTTGTGGAATTGGAGAGTGATTAATAAGAGATTACAAGAGGTAATGCTAAGAACTCTTAGAATGTTTCTGGAAAAGTTTAGATATTTTCAAGATTATTTTAGGGGAATATAGAAAAGAAAAATAATGGAATTCTAGGATGATTCAAATTAAAACAAAAAAGGCTAAGATATCCTGTGAAGAGTTTCAAGTAAATTCAGACTACCAAAAAATTTCATGATCTGGGGCGCAAGAAAAATATAAATTCCGGGATTTAGCATCATTGCAAGATCCTGAGACTTCAAAAATGAAACTATCAGACTTCACTATTCTTTTGCATAATGGTCATGCGAATAGTGGAGTTACCCGTAGTTTAGGTAAACTGTGTGTGAGTTCCACAATATCATGCTTTGATTCTTACTTCAGCCCGGTGAATTTTGCTTCAAAATAAAATTTCCTACTGGTCTGTTGGGTGTTGTGTGTTGTATGATGTCAAGAATTAAACTGTAAATCTGATCAACCTCAGAGTAATATTAGAATTATTTAGAACTAATAAAATCTTTAAATTCTGGTACTGCATCAAAAAGTAAGGACTACATCGACTTTAAGTACAAAAAATCCATCCCATCAAATTTCCTTGATTCTTTGCTTCTCACACTTTTTTTTTAAAGTTACAGTTTAAAGAAAAAACAATTCTAACCATATTTTCTGCTGTTTTTTACCCACATTTATCTCAATTTATGAAATGCTGCGTTATAGATATTTGAACTTTTTGGGCACACCGTGTCAATACTTTTCAACTTTTTGATGATTTTAGCAATGCTGACAAGTTATTTGCTTTATATAATTTATTTAAACATGTTATTTATTACCATTCTAGTGCTTTAAACTAATTCTACATGATTATACTGACCTATTTTTACGGAAGATTGGCACATAACTTTGATTACAATAGCATTATGTTAAAAAGAGGATTTTTTGGAGCATTCCAGATTTTTCCAGATTTTATATTTTACCTGTACCAGATTTTTTTCTGAAAATGACCTGGCAACGCTTATTGCAGCGATTCAGGATTTGCTCTCTGGACAGCAGCAAAACGGATACTTCGTTATCGCCAAGGCACGAAAGCATGCAAGCTGTCGTACCGAAAAACTGGTGATTCCAAACTATCGAGCTATAATTATGCGAATTGGATAAACGATCCTGAGACGAGCCGATGCTGTATCGTGGAGTTCCCGATAGTAATCCACTGTTGATTTATCAACTACAGAATCTGAATATATGACACTCTCAACGGCAACACAAGAAATCATCTGGTGGAAAGGATTCTTGGATGAACTACATGGCACTAAGGATTCAATTATCATCAAGTGCGACAACAAGAGTGCCATCAGTCTTGCTGAAAAAGAAGTTGGCTATTCAGCAAGAACCAAACACATTGGCATCAGGCATCATTTCATCCGAGAGTAAGTGGAACTGAAGTCAATCAAATTGGAACACTTCCTTTCTATTCTTCAAGCTGCGGACATCCTCACTAAGGCAATAATTGACTTGAAGCTCATTGAAAATCGAAAGATATTCCGCTTAAGGGAGGATATTAACATAGTAAGCGTTGTATGATAATCAGTCTAGTCATATCTCCGTTGAAACTCCTTGGGAACCTCCGTTGGCAGCATCTGATTTCTCGACTCCACGCTTTTCTTGTTTTGTTTGTTTACTTCGCCTCGATTCATGTATGTATTTATAGGTGTCAACAAAAATGCACAACAAATGGTTGATGTAAACGATGGAAATTAAATGCATTTTATGAAATTAAATGCATATTCAATGGGCATTCTAAACGTGAGACACAGACTCGTGTTGCAAATCATATAACTACTGCCGGTATTTGAAGAATTCCAGCTCTACATTCCTCAAGCAATATATCACCTCAAAAGTGTATATGAAGATCAAGATCAATTAAGAAACAATTATTATGCAACTGGCATCCACGTGCCATTCATGACCATGTGTTGCTTAATCCCCACCAGTTACACCCAGTTACAATCATTACCATATTCTTTGACATATTTTTCCAGACCATCGTTTTCCTCCTGTGACTGCATGCTGGCGAGCTGCATTCCATGATATCGGCAGTACTGCAGGGCTTTGAACCAGTTAGCCTAGGTGGGAAAAGGAAACATTAAACAGCGTTCAATAAACCTGAGGAATCCGCGTTTAAAAAATTCATACTAAACTAGTTTTGCCAATACTCCTTTCACTTCCAGAAGGGGAAAGAAAAAGTTCAAAGAACACCAATAGGTATGCGAAACTTTCAACAATGGAAGCGTAGCTCGTCAACACTTACCTTGAAGAAAATGCTAAGATAGTACCGCTTCTCGCCCAGTTTCAGCAGCGGCATGGTCCATCTCGTGGGGACACTGGAATCTTCAACACAGTTGGGACAATCTAGAGAGAAGAAAACAAGTAGGGAAAAGGATTACTTCAAGGTCCATCAATTTTGCCGCAGTCAGAGCGGGCGGGAGTTACACAATCGGACATGTTCAATGTTGGTTGGGTTATGCAAAACGTTTGCTGCACTTGTAGAAGTTGATCACATGTGAATGAAAGGGGGAAACGAAGGGTGGCAACTATGTAAAGGTATTGTAGTAAAGGTTGGAAAGGCGAGAAAATAAATCTGAACCTTCGATTCGGCGGAGATTCACCAATTATTCATTCAATTGCAACAATAGATTGGTTCCATGCAGTGGAATTGCCTCAGCGAATGGTCAATTGTATTCAAATTTATCGCCACTTTGGACGGCTGCAGATGTTGAGAGTGGAGCAGCAGAGTGTGGTTTGTTGCCATTGGCTATTGGTATTTATGGACTGTTAGACATTTGCACCAGTTGAGTAGTTCGATATCAACTTAAGCAAAGGTGTTGAGTGTTGCGTTTTGTCAGTGGAAAGTATAAGGGGGGTTAAGAGAGTATGCCTTTAACTTTGATTATTCTTATATTACAGCTACAAGTGTGTTCGAAAATACTGCAGAGCTCTAGTCCTTTCGAGCCGAACACACTTGCACTGCTTGCTTTAAAATTCTATGAACTTTTTCTGCATCACAAAAGGGTTAGAATCAGTTTCATGAGAAGACCACTTTTAAGGATATCCTGAACCTTTCAGTTCCAGTCACATCTATAAATTCATTCATTGAAATCGGATATTGTAGCTTAATTTAGGTAGAGGGCATATTGTGATGATAGAACGAATCATCAGATTTTCTTCAAAATGTTTTATATTTTCATAATTTTAAGATCATCACTATGATCTACAATTCAATAGTATTGAAATACCCAGCTTCTTATTTTTAAATCCTTGTTAAATAGAATGTCAATTATTATTTCTGCCAATCCATGGTTTTCACATGTTTGAAAAGTGGGAATGAGCCCAACGTTAGTTAGGCATTCGTGTCTCTTACGCTAAAGGTAACGAGTTGGTTACCAATTACACAGGTAACATGTCTTTTGAGTCTGTGATTTCCAGGGAGAAAGTCATTTTGCCACCTTGTGTTAAACACATCAAAAACACTCATCAAAACACGCAAACGCCCTCAAACCACCATCAGAACCAATTGTTCAATCTTTTTTGGCAGCACTGCCTAGATCCAACAATGTTTACATTCGTCTGATGCCCTTTTTTGTTTTGGTTGATTTTTTTCTGAAAGAAGGAGCTCCAGCAAACGGTAGGACTTCACAAAAAACTGATCGGGACACCGAAGTAACCCTCACCCCCACAATTGGGAAAGAAGATTCAACATCAAGCTCAACATTGAAAAAAACAGACAATTTCAGCCTCTAACAAGCTAGAATATCTGTAACTGTATAGGAATGAAGCGCATAGTAATTATCATATCAATCAATGGCTGAAGACAGATATTTCTTTCTAAAGTGTTTGATGCCCTTTCGTCGTGGTTTTCATATACACAATACCAAATCAGAGAGATCCATCCTACTAGCTGCCGCCTACAAATAGGTTCGATTTTTTTTTTTTCGAAATTTAGATCTAGAGATTGCTTAGAAAGGAGCGTGCTCGGTTGGGTTATCTGGGCTTGATTGCGACTGGAATTCGGTTGCACAAAAGTGGATGTAATGGTTGCCAGTCAGCATTAATTTCCAGTCAACGTTTTTACAGCTATGTCGACATGCAGAAATACCCATTAACACCTTCCGACACCCTAAAACACACAAGAAACACAATAAACACAGGCACAAGGTGGTTGAGTGACTTAGCCCCTGGTAATTTCCCATGTTTGTTTAGAATCTTTGCTTTACAAGAAGAATTCGATATATCGATTATTATGCTTGTGTAAATAGTAAATTAATTTAATAACGATCCATAATGACTCGTATTATCTTAATTTAAATGAGAAATCTAAAATGAAAAATAATTTGTAATTTAGATTTTAGAGGTAGGGTTAACAACCCCATTTCCAGCCTATTAAGCACAACCCGCACTTAGTCTTTCTTAATCTATCGCAGTTTAGCACCAAATGGAATGTTATTATTGCTGATGGCTGCCAAATTTATTTACCTTTCCGTATGTACCGTAAGATTTGATAAACAGAAACCAATCATTGAGATATTGCCAAAAGTCTAACACAGCTTCTTGACACCAAACTCGGCCTACGGATTCTAAACTCGGCCGAACGCATGAACCGCCATTGAAATGCCAATGAATTCACTTCGACCTATCGGATTAAGATAAGAATTGATTCGATCGGAGCGCTTCTTTTGTTTTTGGGAATAATGGATGCAAATCTTCATATCACGCATTCTCATTGACTTCGTTTGGTAGCTTATTTATTAAAGTATCCTACCAAACGCATAATTGACATGTTAACTCTGAAATCATGGATTTATTTGAAGTTTTCTGCTCGATAGGCCCAAAATGGGCGATTAGGCCGAAGTAATTCTCTACCCTATGTGTTCTTTTTCATCACGGGATTTACGTTGCATTGCTGGTAACGGTGTAAAGGTGTATATAATTATTATTTATTTATTTATTTCGTCAAGCAAAATAGACTACATACAATGTTTACAATGTTTTTCTTATTGGCTATACATTTTTTTCTATTTCCTCTTAGTATATGGTTTTTGGAAATAGTGATGTCAATTTCTTCGCAATTTATGTTATACAGGTAAACTATTCGATTGATGGGACCATTTTTGCGTAACTTGCTCTGCTTGTGTTTTTTTTTCCTTGGTTTGTTTTCCGTCGATCTTGTTTTCCGTGCTGAGCATCAATGCTACCGACGCCAGGGAGGCAGCTCCCACACCTGGACCCTACCTATTGACCCATCAACTCATGAACCGGAGACCAACGGCTTTACTTCCCTCTTTCTTCACCCTGCCTCAGAACATCCCGGCGGCGCCGACTGGGATTGAACCCAGACCTGCTGGGGTTAGAGGTAATCACACTTTCCACTACACCGCCGGCGCAGCTTGCATGTGTTTTCATAGAGTAATTTTCGAGTTCTAAGAGGTTTAAAGGGCGCATACAAATTTAGCTGTGAGAGTATTGCTGCAGATTCTATGCGGTGAAAGATAATGTCATTGATAAAGAAAAGCATTGCAAATTCACGCCGCTCCTTTAGTGTTTGCAGATTGATAAGCATGCAGCGTGCTTCATATAATGGTAGAGGAAATGCAGTCCAATTTAGTCGTCGAAGAGTATACAAAAGAAATTGCTTTTGGAAAGATTCAATGCGTTCTTAGTGTATGGCAGCGTACTATAGCATACTATGTGGCAGTATTCCAGAATAGGTCTTACATATGTAATGTACAGTTAGTCTATAGGGTAGGGGTTCTAAAAATTGTAACTGAACCTCTTAATGAAGCCCAACAGACTTTTGCTACACCAGGTGTAGGATAGATTTATTTCATTCTGGAATATTTATCAGCTTCATGTTATCTGCATACACAAGTACTTTAATATTCTTGAATATGAAGGAAATGTCGGTTGCATACAAAATAAAAAGAAGTGGGCCTAAATGAGATCCCTGGAGGACCCCAGAGCTGACTAGAATTGGTAATGAAAGTTTATTTTGAAAGCATACAATTTACTTACGGTTTGATAAGTAGGACTGGAGCCAGTTCAAAAGTCCGAGACGTTTATGAGTGGTTTCGAAAAAACCGCAGAGCTCTAGAATCTGTTTCGGGAATTGACCACTTTTACGGATTAGAGATGAACTAGCCTAAGGCTAAAAATCTCTTTAATAAAGCCTTAAAAAAAACACTTTTACGGATGTTCCGGATCTTCCGGAGGACCATCGCATAGTCCCCAGAGTCCATATTCCATTAAAAACTCTGAATTAATTCTGATAAGACGCCTATGAGTGGTTTCGACAAAACCACGAAGCTCAAGGATCGGTTTCATGAATTGACCACTTTTATGGATGTTCCAGATCTTTAATGAACCATCCCTTCGACCCCAGCATCCATTTTCTGGTTACAACTCCGAATTCATGTTGATAAGACGTTCATGAGTGGTTTCGAAAAAACCGTGGAGCTCTAGGATCAGTTTCATGAATTGACCACTTTTACGGATGTTCCGGATCTTCCGGAGTACCATCGCATAGTCCCCAGATTCCACATTCCATTAAAAACTCTGAATTAATTCTGATAAGACGCCTATGAGTGGTTTCGACAAAACCACGGAGCTCAAGGATCGGTTTCATGAATTGACCACTTTTACGGATGTTCCGGATCTGCAATGAACCATCCTTAGTTCTCAGCATCCAATTTCTGGTCACAACTCCGAATTCATATTGATAAGACGTTCATGAGTGGTTTCGAAAAAACCGTGGAGCTCAAGGATCAGTTTCATGAATTGACCACTTTTACGGATGTTCCGGATCTTCCGGAGTACCATCGAATAGTCCCCAGAGTCCATATTCCAATATAAACTCTGAATTAATTCTGATGAGACGCCTATGAGTGGTTTCGACAAAACCACGGAGCTCAAGGATTAGTTTCATAAATTGACCACTTTTACGGATGTTCCGGATCTTTAATGAACCATCCCTTCGTCCCCAGTATCCAAGTTCTGGTCACAACTCCGAATTCATATGAATAAGACGTTTATGAGTGAATTCGAAAATACCGTGTAGCTCAAGGATCAGTTTCATGAATTGACAACTTTTACGGATGTTCCGGATCTTTAATGAACCATCCTTAGTTCTCAGCTTCCAATTTCTGGTCACAACTCCGAATTCATATTGATAAGACGTTCATGAGTGGTTTCGAAAAAACCGTGGAGCTCTAGGATCAGTTTCATGAATTGACCACTTTTACGGATGTTCCGGATCTTCCGAAGTACCATCGAATAGTCCCCAGAGTCCATATTGCATTCAAAACGCTGAATCCATTCTGATAAGATGCTTATGAGTGGTTTCAACAAAACCACGGAGT